AAAATTTTAAAAATATTTTTATATTTTTAAAATTAATAATATATTTAGATTTATGGTTGAACGTAGTAAAATAATATTTTTAAAATATATTATTAAATATTATATTTATATTATTTGTATGGTTAATTTTTAATTTATTTATTTATTTGATATTGTAATATATTTTTAAGAAATTAATAATAAATTAGGAGGATAATAAAATTCTTTAAAATTATATGTATATAAGATGAAATAATATTTTGATGTAAAATTATATTTTTGAAATGTATTTTTTTTCTTATGTTTTTGTAATATTTTGAATGATATAATATTAAAATTGACTTTATAAAAAATTAGGAAAAAAAACAATTAATTTAAAATTATAATAATGATAAAAATATTATAAAAAAGAGTTCAAAAATATATTATAATATTTTCAGTTTTAGTTTAATTATATTTTTAATTCTCAAAGTAGAAAAATATATTGTAATTATTTTAATTTAATAAAATATAATTTAAATTTTTAATACTAAAATTAAGAGATTAAATAAAATAAATTTAATTCTTTAAATTTAGTATTTAGAAACTAAAATTATAGTTTCTTTGTTTTTAAAAAGTAAAATAAATATTTAAAAATAAAAATAAAAACTAGTATTATCTTAAATTTATTAAAAGTATAATTAAATCTCCATTTTCTTATCCCATTTTAAATTTTTTTTAATAAAAATCCAATATATAAAAAAGTTGAAATTTTAAAAAGGCACAGTCTTAACTTACATTAACTATTTTTTTGAATATTATGTTTTTAAATTTGCTAATAGAGAAAACGTTTCAGAATTCAAAATGTTAAATTCTTTTAAATATTAAAATTGACTTTATAAAAAATTAGGAAAAAAAATTAATCCAAAAGAGTTCAAAAATGTATTATAATATTTTCAGTTTTAGTTTAATTATATTTTTAATTCTCAAAGTAGAAAAATATATTGTAATTATTTTAATTTAATAAAATATAATTTAAATTTTTAATTCTAAAATTAAATGATTAAATAATAATAAATTTAATTCTTTAAATTTAGTATTTAGAAACTAAAATTATAGTTTCTCTGTTTTAAAAAATTAAAATAAATATTTAAAAATAAAAATAAAAACTAGTATTATCTTAAATTTATTAAAAGTATAATTAAATCTTTATTTTCTTATGTAATTTTAGAAAATTTTTAATGAAAATCCAATATATAAAAAAGTTGAAATTTTTAAAAGGCACAACCTTAACTTATATTAACTGTTTTTTTTTTAAGCCGACGAGAAAAACTTGGCTTTGAAAAAAAAAAGTTAATAATTTTGAAGTTATTTAAGTGATGAAGTTTCCAAATGTGATCTATGAATTTATTGAGTAAAATTGGAGGTAGGTTGAATATAAATTTAAATATATTTTTAATTTATTTAAATATGGTTTATTTTTAGTATTTATAAAATAGATTAGTTTTAAATTTTTAACTTTTGTAGCAGTATATTTTTAATATTTGTTATTAATTATGTTAAAAATGAAAAAATATTAATTAGTATACTTAAACTAATGTATATTGATATAATTTTTTTTGTATATCAATTATATGAAAATAACCATGGTTAAGTAATTAATAATAATAAAGCAATAAATTTAAAAATTAGATTAAAAATAAAGTTTTATAAAATAAAATTGTAATAATTTGATTAAATTTTTTTTAATTAATTAAATTAATGAGGAATTAAAATGTGATAATTTGATGTGTTTAATTTTTTTAATATAAATTTTTAAAATATAATTTAATTTCAATTGAAATTTTCAATTGAAAAATAAATTAAAGAATATTTATTATTAAACTTTTCTTAAACAATGTATTGAATAGTTAATATTACTCTAGTCTTAATTTATTACAATTTAAATTTTTAATAAATTTGATTTATTTTTAATAATATTTTTATTTTATTAATTTAAAATTAAAGTTAATCTTCATTTTGTTAATATTGAGACCAAAGTTTATTTTTAAAGTATATTTTAAAAATTAAATTATTTTTAAAAAATAAATTACTTTTAAAAAATAAATTGTAAAAAATATACTAAAACAATTAAAGTATATTTATAAAAAAATAAATTTAAATATAATAAAAAAATAATCTTCATTAGCGATCGATTTCAATCCGATCGCTATTTTCTAATTAGCTATCGATTTTAATTCGGTCACTATTTCAATTTGTAATTCGGTCGCTAAATCAGTCGTTAAATGATTTTTTTATTTTAGTATGGAATAGTCACCGATTTAGCGATCGAAATTTTGCGACGCAAACTATTGGTCGCTATTTCGGTCACTAACTAAAAAATGTGAAGTCAAATTATATTTCGGTGGCTAAATCGGTCGCTAAATTGTGACCGAATTAATTCGGTCGCTAAATCGGTTACTAATAGCGACTGAATTAAATCGGTTGCTAATTGTGACCGAATTAAATCGGTCGCTAATTGCGACCGAATTAAATCGATCGCTAATTTCGGTCACTAAATGTATTTTTTCTTGTAGTATTTTCTCTTTCATAGCCTGCAAGGCCTGTTGCCAGTAAGTTGACATATGGAATTGCATCAGGTTTTGGAAAGTCATTCATCTTGTTAAACTAAAGATAACAAATAAAAGAAAAGAAAATCAGATATTAAACAGAAGATGCACCTTTGTCTTTGGACTATTCTAATTTGAGATGAATTACAAACCACGAAAACCTTAATGAATTCACTTCTTAAGTGGACTAACAAGGAAATAAGCTTAATATCGTATATTTACCCCTACATTTTGTTATAACTTACTGCAAATTCTACACGGATACGAGCACACAACCATTTTTAAAGGCACTCTTTTCTGGTATATGCATCTTCGTAATTAAATTAAATATTATTTTATCTTTTATTTGTCTTTATCTTTGCAAGTATTTATTTAAACTCTATTAAAACATTTCATTTTTTCTTCTCCTATTATTCCAAGAATTATAAGAAATAAGTAAGAATTTTTAAACAACAATTTTTTTTTTGCTGAAAATACCTTCCGAGGATTGGGAATATAGTTTTAGAAAAAATTGTGCAGAAATATATTCCAAAAAATGGATTCTAGAATTAATTTTTTAGAAATACATTATGAATAAGTGAATCCAAAATACAGTTCTAGATTACACATTCTATAAGTGTATTTTGGATTTACCAATCTAAAATATATTTTTAGAAAATTAATTTCATAATGTATTCTGAAACCTATTTTTTAGAATAAATTTACAAAAAATTTCAGAATATATTTTCAAATTGATTTTTCTGGAAACACATTCTGAAACACTTTAATTCGAAATGTATTTTTAGATTGACTTTTCCGAAAATATAATCTGAAATAAGTGTTTCAATATGTGTTTCTAAAAAATCAATTTAAAAATATTTTCTGTTTTAATGTGTAATTTCAATGTAGAAATATGTAATAAATACATCATATTAACAAATACTCATATTTAAGTCTTAGAAACAATATCTAACAATAGTGATAACACAATAAACCACATGCAAATCTATAAAAATGCATAACTTTCTTAGAAAAATAAAAGATAGGATTAAGATTTGAAAAAGAAAATATTGAAAGGGCATTTTAATTATTTTATTTAAAATGTAGAAGTACACGGAGAAAATATAAAGATACTATTTTAAAAAATTTAGAATATAATAAATCATGGATACATTGAAAAAATATACAAAATATTTTATGTAAGTGTAAAATATTAATAAATAAAAAGAATTGTACCTATTCATGACGCAATATATCTCTATCAATGTTCGAATCTTGTCTCTACTTTTCTATACAATAATACCCGCACAAAAGTCTAACGTTTTGGATACTCCTTGGAAGTATCTAAACACAAGTAAAAATAAATAAATAAATAAATAAAAATTTGACTGGATATTTTTTTATACGTGTCTTGATGCATTCCAAAATAACTCAAACAAATGATTTCATTACGTCTCAATGTTTTTTCACATTATAACTCAGAAAAAGCAAGTAAAACCTGAAGAAGCAAAACCTCTAGATTTTTAATATTAGAATAAACTTTTTTTTAGAAGTTATTCTATTTAATAACAATAATAATGGCCTCACAGTTTGTTGTGATGACATTATTAGATTCTTCATTATTGTCTACTTTGAAGATGTATTGTATTTCTATTAGTCTTTAAAATACAATTTTATAGATTAAAAAAATATTTATAAAATATCTTTAATTTTGATTTATGAAAGTCATGAGGGCATATAAAAAATAATAATAATAAGAGATAAAAGAATATCAAACTTTATTTTCGGTACACGATCAATGTGAATATTTCATTTAGAAAAAAAATCTTAATTTTAAAATTTATTATGATAAAATTATTATCATTTATCATCATATTTATTTTAAAATTTTATTTCATCAAACTTTTATTTTTAAAATATGTTTTAAATTAATTCTATTTTTAGTATTGATTTCTAAATAATGTAAGAGGTATAATTATATTATAAAATATAAAAAATATTTTAAATTGTTATTTTTTAATTATGAAATATTGTTTAAGAAACTACGTCACATTCTTTTTCTGCAACTGATATAATTAATATTGACTGTACTTTAGAATAAAAATTTACATTAAAATGTATTAAATAAACAATAATTTTTCATTATACATATTGGTTAAATTTTATAACACTTTTATAAAATTTCATCTAAAATATTTTAAATTGATTAATGTTATAAAAATATTTGAAAAATCATATCTATACATGTATTTCAGTTTATGGACAAGAAGGAAAAATGAATAAATTACATTGGAAAGTGAAAATGTATCTTTCATTACTTTGTCCAGTATTACACTATACACTTTATTGTAGTAGTGTCAACATGTAATTAAACATATAATAGTGTCTAAGACAATAATTTTATTATTATTACATTATAAGTTTTTGTTGTAGTAGTGCAACAAGAGTCTTCTTCTATTTTCTTTCATATCTATGTAGAATGATATGAGCACCGAACTGTGGCTGAAGAGTAATTGACATAGTTGGAGCATGAGCATATGCAGGAGAGAGTTCGAATGAGAAATGCTGTAAAATCATTGACAAGGCCATCTTTGCTTCCAACATGGAGAAGTTTTGTCCAATGCATATTCTAGGACCCCATCCAAATGGAAAGAATGAAACTCTACCCTTTGTTGCTTTTACAACTCCTTCGGAAAATCTCTCAGGATTGAACTGCTTAGCATCTTCTCCCCATAATTCACACTCATGCTGAACCAAAATTGTTGGGAGGAACACATGCACTCCAGCAGGTAATGTAGAGTTTCCAAGTTTCAAATCCTTTTTAACAAGTCGAGCCATCCCAAGTGCTGGTGGGTATAATCTAAGAACCTCATACAAAATCATAGTGACCTGATACCAAAAAGAAAAAACAATTGGTAAGTATAAAGGATATACAATTTAGTATTCTATTGTGCATGTATGACCCTTCTTCACAAGGACTTCTAGGAGAAAATAAATATATGAAGAAAAACTGAAACTGACATCTTTGTGAGTTAAAATTAGTTTATGCATAAACTAATACAATACTTACAATCTTTAGGCGACTTAAACCATCAAAATCTAGCTTTTCATTGCCAAAGACTTGAAAGACTTCCTCTCTTGCACGTTCTTGCCAATAAGGGTACCTACTCAATAACACCATTGTCCAAACCAACAAAACTGAAGTGGTTTCCTGCCCTGCAAAGTAGAATAGCTTGCATTCCTCGATTACATCTTCAAGACTCATTCCAACATTCTTAGAGTTTTTGTTTCCATGTTCTTGGATTTCCCTGTGATTGGACTCCAAAAGTATACCTAATAGGTCATTATTAGTGGCTTCACCTGCCTTTTGTGCTTTCTCCCTCTTGTAAATCATATCCTTGAGTGAAGCTTTTATATCTCTGTCAATTTCCTTCATCCTCCTATGTGTTTTAGTAGGTAAAAACCTACAAATATACATTGTTCCATCCCATTAATTTTATATATGAAGAGGATGCTTTCTCATTAACTCAACTGCATTTCTAGTTCCAAACATATTGATAGTAAACAAAATTTAGTTTTCTAACAGTTAGATTTTTGTTATTGCAAGTTGTAAATTAATGTAGAACATATCTTTTCAACACATTTGATAAATGATAGGCATGATATAGAGGATAAAGATTAATGATGATAAAACGTTACTTGTAGTTTCAATTTAACATTGAATGAAACTATCTCCTATTCAAATAGTATGTAAGAGAAACCAAATATTCCCCTCTAAATATTTGATAAATTTGTTGTCCTATATATTAAATTTATTTGATTCCTATTATATTTATTACTTCTTAATCATTGTTTCATGCATGGCATATATAGTAAGGGTAGTTTAGTGAAACAAAACTGTTTTTAATAAGTTTGAACTTGCTTTAGTCATCAAATCAAACCATTTATGTTACCTCCATCCGGGGATTTGAATTTTTAATATAACCTGCGTTAGAAGTTTAACTTGCTCTCTTTGAAGTTGAAATATTCTTCTTCCTTCTTCAAAGCTACTTCCAAATGCTGATCTAGCAATAACATCACTGGTCAGATTTTGAAGAAAAGGCCAAACATCTATTTCACATGATCCGTCTGGAGACAACATCCCCTCCCATTTGCTAATCAGGTCATTGCAACTTTTGAAAAATAGTGGTAGCATAGTCTGTGGTGTAATAAGGAAAACACTCAGGGTTAGAATCAACTCACTCAAACTAACCACAAAAACATCCAGACTTCAATGCATTTTGTTTATAAACCAAATTTATGTTGTTAAGAAAATTATATGTTACATGCAATTTGGTTGCATAAAAATAGCAAGTAAAATCTACTTGTCACAAAATATTTTCTCACATGCTCTTCTTGATTGTTTGAAAATTATGTTGCAAGTGGTCAAGTGTCAAAGAGAAGGACTTTTCTTTTTCTTTCAATAACAGTGTATATGGATTGGGGTACCAAGGACTTTGTCTTTGGAAAGAAAATATGTTGCAAGACAAATCTATGCTGCATTTTTAGGGAGAGTAAATTTTGCCCTGGTAAAGAAAAAGGAAGCAAACACACAATACAAAACCCAGTTACCTAGTTCTTATCTTGTATGTTTTGAAATAGAATAGATATCTACATCTAGCAAATGCAAGCAACTGACCTACCTTCAGTTTTTCTAAATTGAAAGCAGGGTTGATTAATCTTCTGTGCTTGCTCCACTTTTCTCCTTCATAACCTGCAACACCGGTTGCCAATAGCTTGACAAGTGGATTTGTATCAGGCTTTGGAAAGTCAGACATCTTGTTAAATACATCTTTGATTTGCTCGGGATCTAAGATGGTCACCCTTGGCGTTGGCCCTAACCAGATAAAAGAATTCTTGCCTGCATCTCATTGACAATTTATAAGGTTTAAACAGTTAAACTAAAGACAAAAAAAAAATCAGGAATTAAAGAAGACATGCAACTTTGTATGTGGACTATACACCAGTCAGTGTGTGCCCAACGATTATGTGTTTGTGCACACACTCGTTCTTCAGTGTGTGCACAAAGAGAGCTATAATAATGGGAGGCTGATGCACTTCACCTTAAGTGAGCACATCCCCAATTCTTGTGGTGTACAAGCTTCTTTATTGTACACAGATATATTAGCCAATTTTGGAAAGTTTTGTCATTTTTTAGCAGGAATAAGGAGTGTCTCTTATGTTCTCTGATTTTCGGGCTTGGATCTCTAACTTCTCTTCCATTCATTCGTTTTTATTTGAACTCTTTTGTTCTGTTTCTCACTGCCTCTGTAATTGCTAAAGAAGGTAAATAGATGAGCATTGCTAAAGAGAAAAGTATAATCATAGCAAACATACCATGTGTGTTGACACTATGATGGAGATAGGGTTCCACACGTGGCACTATGTCATCCGAGAGATTCATGGGTTTGGATAAGGCTTCCTCCCTCATCTTCAGAAACTCCTTGCTGTCTCCAACCAAAACCTTGTATGGATTGCCTTGAAACCCTTGCTCTCTTAGAAGCTTTTCAAGTCTTTTGGGTGTGAACCATAACCTACTCAGAATCCTCCATGCCCATATCAGAACAAGTATCAGTATGAGAGTCAGAGTTATGGCCCGTGCTGCTTCCATTTCTGTGTTTCATGGGTGAGAGAAATGAGAACGGAGAGAGATGATAAAACCTGAAGAAGCAAAACCAGAAGTTACTACACAATTCTGGTCGCAAAACTGTGCTATTCTACACTGCTCTCCAATTTATCAATTTAAACTTCTCTTTCTTTTTGTTTTTTTCTATTTATTCAACAAGAAAGCGATAATGTTTGTTTTATTTCTATTATATTTTTTTATTTAACATTCGAAAATTGTCATAGTTTTGTTGAAAGGATACCTTAGTATGAAGCTATTTAGAAGAGTATAAAAAGTATTTTAAATTGTTACTTAATTATAATTTTTTTTCTTATCGCATCATATCATCTATAACATCGATATTTCTTTTAATAAGTATTATTTGAGTTAATATTTAAGATATTGATGAATATTTATACTTCAATAAATTAGAATAATTGTTCATGATGTTATTTATTCGCTTAATTTTAATTACAAACTCTGTGTGTGTATATATATATATATATATATATATATATATATATATATATATATATATTAAAATGGTTAAATTTCATAATATTTTAAAAAAATTGTATTAAAATATTTAATTGAATAATATGAAAAATACGTGCATTTCAACTAAAGAAATCATTTGTGTGACAGGAAGAGAAAACTGACAAGAAGAAAAATAAAAAAAATGCATTTGAAAGTGAAAATGTTATCTTTCATTGCCGTTTGGATTTCGTCCATTCGTTTAAAAGGAGAAAAAGACAAACACAAAAATGAAAGATTTTCCGAGTCTTGATAGGGACGAAGGAAAGAGAGAATCAATTCTATTAGTTTGGTCTATCAGTTTGGTACACAATTGAAACACAACTAACTTTAAAAATCCCAAATTTATTTTAGAGATCATTGAATTATTCATCAGTTTTTTTATTAAATTAAATTATAAAATTGGAAAAAAAAATATTTTGTTTATTTATTTATCAAGGAATTAAATATTCAATTTTTATTTTTATTTTTTTTACTCTCATCATCTTTATTTCTTTCTTTCATAAAAAATATATAAGTTAAATTTTAATATCCAATTTTATTGTATTTCATCCTAAGGGGTATTTTACTTTCATAATCATGATATTTTATTAGATTAGGTATTGTAGCTTTTCTTTCTCACGAATATGGGATATAGAAAGAAAGTATGGGAGTGCAGATAAAAAAAACAACTGTACTTCTAAATTTGTATGTTCAGTGTCCAAAAACATGACAATGGGATTAATTTGGGCTTCCCTAAAGTCTTGGATCTTGTTGAAGACTTCTTTTTTATGTGGTTATTTCTTCTTGCACCCCTTTATTTTCGTCATTCACCTCCTATATTTAAAATTCCAGTTTTATCAATCGTAAAATTATTATTCTAAATTATAGGTTCCAGAATTTTTCTTTCATAATGCCTTATGTAAAATCATGTAAATGATATTATTTTACATAATTCTATTATTATTGTTGTAATTGGCCATTCCAAAAACATTTGACCTTATTTCAAAATGCATAATTTGAAATATGTTCATTCTTTCGCATCATGTATTTTTTGAATTAAAAATATATATTTTTGAGTTTCTTAAAATTGAAACAAATTTACGATTTTAGTTTGAAAATATGAAATTTAAAAATTGAAACAATTTTTAAAAATTTAAATCAAAAAATTATTTAAAAATTGAACTATAACTGTTTTAAATTTTAAAGACTAAAAATATAATTAATACGTTGATCTAAGAAGATGAAGTTGAATTCTGAAGCATGCGCGTGAGGGTGTGGAACCCACGCGGTTGCTTTGTGGCATAGATCTTGTGGTGGTAGTAATCAGTGTTCATAATCAACCCCTTTTTTATCATTAAAAATATATCTTTTTATAAATAAATCAACCGATTATAAAGTCAACAGACATTTTTCCACCGAAAGGAAACCACAACAGTTATTATGAAAAAGTAAAAAAGAATGAAATTTGTTCACTTTAATAGTTATGAAATATTAGGGTTTAAAAAAACTTATTTACTTTAATAAAGTGATTACTGATTTTTTTTAAGTATAATTATTTATATATGACTATATATTCTAAATTTTCCATTAAAATATTTCTCTTACTTACTCCTTCCTATGTAGCATAATATAAATAAATAAAACATCATCATTATATAGTGTGTTTAGATGGTTTTTAAAAATTAAATTTTAATTAAATTATATATATATATATATATTCAGGATGAAATAGAGAAAAATTAAATTATGCTTAATATAATTAATTTTGATTAATCAATTAATATTAAGTATCTAATTTCAATTTAATATTAAAGAACATTAAAATTGGTGTAGTACAAATGATTTATATTGTTGGTATTGTGATGGATACAGGTTGAAACAGACAAATTTTAGTTTTTGGTTAATTTTCGCTCAAGTAAAACTTAATTTGCTTGAATGAGGATAAGATTGCGGAAGAGGTGGTTTAAGACGAAAATGGTTCACTCAAGTGAGAGTTTCATCCTACATCGAAAGTCAAGTCGGTTCAATTTTCATTCAAGTGGGACTATTTTTGTTCAAGTGAGAGTCAAATCGGTTTAAATTTCGCTCAAGTAAGGAGAGAGAGAATTGATACAATCGAATTTTTGCTCAAGTGAAATTCTCAAAATGTTTTTTTTACTGAACTTCTACAAATCATTAGAAATAATTCCGAACTCTAAATTTTATGTTCCATATATTCCAATTGAAACCCTGAAAATGAGAAATCCAGTTAAACAAGAATGAGCCCAAAATATATATATAAGCTATCTTCAAAAAAGTAGACAGAGGTCAAACAAGAAAAATACATAATTATAATATTTAGTCCAAAATAAGCATTGTTATTATAAATGTAAGGAAATGACATGCGGGATGTATTATGAAATAATATGGTAGTGTTTTGTGTTCTTAATACTAAGATATATTTGTTGAAACTCATTTGAGCTAGGAGGGTGGTGACTCATAATTGACTAATGTGTGTGTATTGATAGTCCTTATCAAGAGAAGTACCATGAGATCACATAAAAGTGCATAAAGATAGGTAGTATTGTTAGTAATCCTACTTTGTAGGTAAAAAAGCCAAAATGGTATAGTATCGATTTCAATGTGAACCATAAATGTTAATCGTTGAGTTTGAATCATAGTATCAATCTTCTAGAAGACGTCGGTATGAGTTAAATAATATAAATATAATATGAAATTACATAATGTGGTGAAATTTTATGTGAATGATGTAATGTAGTACATTTTTTTACTATTATATATATATATATATATATATATATATATATATATATATATATATATAGTAACTTAAACTATCAATTATTTTTTAATAACTAGTTTAACATTATTTTCTTGTTTATGAACTTGACTACTATAATCGTATTGAAGCATATGATATCGTATATATGAAAACTATATTTGGACAATAGAATTAGTATAGGATATAATGTTTTTTTATGTTTATTAGTATTATATAACAAAATTAGTAGTGGAGCTTCTTGGTAAGTGAAAGGGGTTATGGTCCCTTAAAATTTTGTAACTTACATGTACAATTATGATTTTGGCTCCTCTCTCACCAAACTTAATGATCATTAAATATATATATATATATATATATATATATATATATATATATATATATATATATATATGTTTATATATTTATAATTTTGGTCTCTCATATTTTCATATTATTTCATATTTATTTTTTATTTATTAATATATATTATTTGTTTATTAGTCAAGATCCATGGGCATGATCTCATACTAATAGACATCATTTTGTATTAAATACTTGTGAAACATGATGTACTCTCTTTGTATATTCAATCAATTAAGTTACTTCTCAACATAATATACTCCCTTTATATATTCAATCAATGCAAATGACTTCTCAACATAATATATTGTGATTGTAGCAATTTCTACCATTGCTACAATTCTTCCCATAAGTTCTTCATTTATGTATTATTGTCCTCCTAAAAAATCATTTATTTTGAATTGGTCTCTTAAAACTAATTTTTGGTTCCGTCTCTTATTAAATTAATTTTTTTATTTATTTTTCATTATTCTCATTTAGTTTTTTTTTTAATATAAGTTTTACTTTTTACATAAATTGTAGTAATATTAAAAAATAATTAAAAAAAATATCATGAATGGGCTAAATTGACCATGTAAAATCATTTATATTGAGAAAATATTTGTCCTGATATTTTATTTTCAATTTATAGTTTGTATATTAAATTTACATCTAAATTATTATTCAAATGTTTTCATTTAAGACTTAAGACATTATTAAATGAAAAATGTTGGGTTATTCCTCTTTTAAGATATAAACTTAATATTAAAAAAATACTATCCTTTGTAATTATAATAGATTTGAAAATGGTAAGATACGACGGAGGATGCAGTAGAGGGCACAATAGAGGTTGAGGGTGTTATGAAGGGCACAATGGGGGTTGAGAGTATGATAGAGGGTGAAGAAGAAGAATAATCATTTCATATAAGGAAAAAAAGTTTAGAGTTAAGGTATAAAAGAGAGGAAGATGATGAATAGTTTGGAAAAATGGGAGAAATTTTTTGCAAAGTTATAAAACACTTGGTTCTATTATAAACAATATTGAATGTGACTTTCTATATTGATTACAATATAATCGATGTAAAACACTTGTCTCAAATTAAAAATTTGACACCATCTTTTTCTTCTACATTGATTCCTTAATAATTGATGTTAAATGGTGTTATTAAAAACTATTTTTGTTATAATGATCCATCCATCACTACACACATGACTAAAGTAAAAATTTTCACTTGAGCCAACAATTCTGACACTTGAGATAAGATTGCCAGACTTGAGCATTAACTCTTAGCCTCATTTTCGCGTGAGTGAAAAATACCAAGTTGAATCTTAACTCTTGGTCTCATATTTTCTTAAGCAAAAACTATCATACTTGAGTATTGAATCTTAG